GAAAATTGAACATTTTTGCAATTTGTTAATTAATAGGAATGATCTGCAAGGGGATAAAAGCTTCGGTTGGCCGAAGCTAGCTTCCTTTCTTGTTTTCCTTTTTTTTTTCTTGTTAAAAGCTAAATTTCGACGGCCTTTTTTTTGATTACACATATTTTTTTTAACCGAAATTAGATTAAGTTTAAATCTAATAATTTTATGAAAACATATTTTTACCAAACAAATTTGAATGGAAAAAACAATTTCACATAGAATCCAACATTTAATTAAAAGTTATTATCTGGTATCGTTAATTCTCACTGAAATAATTCATTTCCTTAAGTACTCTAGCTCTCGACTTTAAATCTAACTTTATCCCCTCACATTTATTCTAGTTCGCTTCAACCTATTTGGAGTTCCTGTCGGACATTAAAATCCGATTTTTTATCCGCTACTTTGAGTCAAAATTTATAACACTAAATGCAGTCGACAGCTTGTCAGTGGCAATGCGCTTTTAAGCTAACAAGCGTGAGTAAAGCGAAGCGAAACAACCAAGACAACAACATCCAGAATCCATTTACATTAAAATTTATAGAGCATAAAGTGAGCGCTTTTTTTTATTTTAATTTCATTTCATTTCCAGTGAACAGCACCCGGTAAGGAGGACACAAAAAACTGTTACAGTTTGACTATAAAATTACAAATTTCCCGTTTTTTTCTTCCTTTTCGGGTCCTTTATTGTTAAAAGAGAATATGTCAGCATGTGATTCCAAAAAGGAAAAAAAACAAACGACAAAAAAAATCGGAAAAAAAGATTTTAATAAAAACCGACCGGAAATTATGTGCGTAAGGAAGAGGAAGAGGGGAAAGGGGAGGAAACCGTTGCCATGAGGTATATATATTCACCTATATAGACCATAAGTACGCAGCACAATATTGTTGTCAGGGAGAGCGTTTTTTTCGGCATTTTCTCTTGTTTTTTTGTATATGGTGTTGTGTTCCTCACTATTTTAATTTTTCCGCGTCGCTTTCTGTGCGGCACGAACAATTGAATTATTTCAGTACGTGGAAAAAGCGAGGGGTGGGCATTTGCCCATTAGCCGAGTGCCACCCCACGATCATCGCAGAGCCCAGGACACAGGACCCAGGAGGAATCCCCCTTCCTCATCAACGCCTCGCCGAAAACGAGAAAAAAATCCTCAAAAAAATGTGAATAAACGGATTCTGGAAAAAAATTTGTAACAAAAGTTGTACGACGTGACTGTTGGCAAGTTTCTCGTTTTTTTTGCTACGTTCTATTATAATTCTTTTTTTTTTTTAATTTTTAGATGACTTGATTGGAATGTCAGATAAAGTCAAATGGATTTCAGCGTAAATTAAGTTGCCACAAAAATGGAGAATTTCACCCAGCTGCTGAAAGAAGTTAAGTTTGAGACAGAAAGTTCAAGTTAGAATAACCAAATATTTTTGTATTTTTTTGTTTTATTTTTTGGCTTAAGGCAGCAAAGGCAAAGTGACTTTTCTTGTCGTTAGAAACCTTAATATATTTATTAAGTCAAAGATAAATTTAATACATGTTTTTTTTTGTTATTTTTAAGCAACAACAAAAATTCAGAAGTAATAAAGTTTCAGGCTTGGGATATTTTTGTTTCTTTTAATCCATGATCCTTTACTCTTAAGCTTTAGATGGATTGCCGGCACAGAAAAGGATAACAGTAAATGATATGAAACCGGTTCGACCGGTTGTTAGCTTGACGAATTATTGTGGTATTTTTTATGAAAATATTTGAGCCATTTCGCATATGAATATCCCGGGAGAAGGAATAAATTAAACCCCTTTTTCGGGATGCAGCTGGACAGTTTCGGGTGAATTCAGGTAGGAATTCAATTAAAATCGGTGGAAGTAGGGGAAGTAGGACAGCATCCTCTGGACCCTTGACACAATCGCAATCGGAGTCCCAAACACGGAAAATGGAAATAGAAAATATAAAGCGGAGATGATCGCCACATTGTGAGAACACAATCGGCGAACGCCAGTCAGCCACCGATCTCCATTCATTACGCGGCATTCATCTTTCACCTTTTTTTTGTACTTTTCGATTTAACCCTTTCACGTTGACAAAACTGTTGCCTTAGTTCCTAATGCCGCATTATCCTTCGGCTGGGATTGTGTCCTGTGAAGTGACATTCCGTCTAATTTGAATATTCTGCCGCCGCCGTCGTTTCCCACGATTTATGCTTATGATTTGCCAGCGCTCCTTTTCTTGGCTCGGCTCTCCACTCGACAATCCTTAACCCTGCTCAGTCTATGCTAATGCAGTTGCCATAAATTCGCTTCCTTCGGTGGTCTTGGTCCTGGCTACAGGTTCGCTTCTCTAGCGAATGTGTGTTTTCCCCTCGAAACTCATATTCGAATGAGGTCCTTTGTCTGGCCCGTAATTGTCGTAGAAATTATTTACACATTTTTAATTGGCACTCAAGTTGTCGGGCACCTCCTGCTGATGTTTCGCTTTTTCTTCTTCGCAAATCGATTGCTTAGACTTCCTCATTAGCGACAAAAGCATGACAAAAGACTGTTTGTTTATATCTTAAGGCTGCCTTGAAGGTAAATACTTCGGTGAGGGAATTAAATAAATAAATAACTATACAATTTTATCCTATTCGTAAATTTACAAGTTTTCTTTAGAGTTATTTTTATATTAATATCAAATTAAAATTTAAATATTTTAACAGACAAATTCTTGATATATAAAAACCTTTACCATATAATCAACTTGATCATTGTTAGGTATGATAAAATATTAAAACTATTTCTTTGCTTTCTCCTGGCCTTTTGGTATAAAAATAATTTCCAAACCCATCCATTAGCACTTTACGGTGGCACTGAAATTATCTACCTTTGGTCCCATCGAGTGCCACTTTGAGGCGGCACTTTTGACCTAGTCCTTTAATTTGGAACCGCCTCCGATTGATTGTCCCATCGTTTGAGCGGCACTTGTGGGGTTTGAGGCGACGTGGATGTGGAAGCCCCACAGAGTATCATTTGCTTTGCTGACTAAAAAAAAGTAATTATGCCGACTAAGAGCTTCATCAGACATCCCATTATGCGGCCTGCACTCGACACAAACACACATGCCTCCGTGGTGGAAACAAAGGCTGGGTGGGCTACCTTTGTGTGAGCCACAGCGGCCCCGCCCCTCGACGCCCACCGCCCCTTTCGGCGTCATCATAAATGTTATGAAGTGCAGGGCGACGGCAAAAAGGGGGGTGTGGCATGCACTTGAGTTGAGGCATTGAAAAGAGGAGGAAAACCTTGCGTTGGGATTAAAAATGCAGCGCATTGAATTTGCACAGCCTCCGCAACCTTTCCTTCTATATTTTTTTCCCCATTTTTCCACCGCCAGCCTCCATTTGCAACAAATAATGATGCACTTGAAAAACTCTGTGTGTGTGTGCAAAACAACAGCGGTAGAAGTTGCAAAAAAAAAAGTATATCATTAAAAGCTTCCCCTGCTCCTTCGTCCTGGAACATCGCTTTATTAGAGCCAAAGAACCGAGAGAACGGAGAGAACCGCTCCTTGCCGACATCCATGCCATTAATATTTCATTTAACGCTGCAATTGTCCCAAGAGCAATACCATCCACTGCCACGCCTCCTGCTTACACCTACCTTGCCCCTAAATAGCCTTAAAATGTTTAATTCATTTTATGCGATTTCATTCAGCTCGGGTTTTAATTATGAGCGGAGGAGACCAGTGGTGATGCCGCCTCGAGTGGATAGTCAGCCGCAGAGGGGCAGAGTTCACTCAGAAGTGCACCGAGAAAATTGCATTTTTATGAATTAAAATAATAATTCAAATAGTAGAACATGTAATCTAAGTATTTTAATAAATATTATATAGTAATTTTATTTAATATTTTTAATATTTAGTGAGTGAAAAAACTCGATAGCTTGTTTCATATCAATTAAAAACCGATATGATTAATGCCAAATTTATGATTCAAAGATATCAACTTGATTTTATCATGTCATATTTTAAAATACCAGATAAGCATTTTATTTTAGCCAATTTTTTTTTTAGCACTTAACAAATGTTACTTAAATATTTAATTTTTAATTTAGTTTTGTTAACATCAATAAAAATACGACTTATTGAAAACTTTAATTTGAAAGTCGAATAAAGTACTTTAATTTGAAATTCTTTTTCCAGTGCAGTTGTGTAGATGCCAGTCAACTGACTTGTGTAATTTGTGCATAAGTTTCATTTACTTTGGGGGCGACATAATCTTCAGTTGCTTACTCCGCCCAACGGCTAATGTCGTCTATGGTTGCTTTTCTGCTCCAGCTCCTGCTCCTTCTGATCCTGCGACTCCTTCGGCCCTCCGTTTTTCAACAGCACCACCATCCGAATCCTTGGGCATCCACTTTTCCAGGCAGTGTCAGCTCCCCGGGCTCGGAAAAAATTGTCTCAATGGCCTTGCCCGGTCTGGTTTGGTCTGTGATTATGCACTTGACGTGCATAAAGCTGAATTTTAATTACGAGTAAATATTTAAACCATTAAGCTCGAAAAGTATGCTGCAGGCTAAGCAAAAGACATTGGTGGACCGTAAGGGAAGAGGATTGGGAACTGAGGATGAGGAGGAGGTGTCCAAGTGGATGTCGTTGGGTTTTCTGAGAAAATTAGAACGCACTTGAGGATAAGTAACAAGAAGCCAAAAACTTAATTATTTCCATAATGATATATGGAATGGCGTAACACTTAAAACGATATATTTCGTAATTGGGTTCTAATTATAAAATTTAATGGATTAACAAAAATTAATTTAGAGAAATGGTAATAAAATAAAGATTTAATAAAGAATAAAAGTATTTAGTTTTAAAGTCATTACCATTCTTTTTGGGAAATAATATTATGATATATGAAAATTACAATCATAAATTATAAAAAATAAGATCGTAGTTATCCAGTTTATGAAGTAAAGTCAGATTAAAGCCACAATCGGAAAAATATCACGAACATATACACGTAATTTCAACCACCCAGTTATTTAAGACACAAAATGGAGGAGGATCGTTTGATTGAGCAGGCTAAAATAGAACATGTTACACCTTTAAGGGACCTGAAGGAGCTCATCCAGACAGCGGCCGATGCCAGCAATCCAGAGCTTCAACTGACCGCCGTCCAGGAAATTCGCACTCTACTCTCGTCAAAGAATCCTCCCATCAATGACCTCATCCAAAACGGCATTCTGCCCATCCTGGTCGAGAGTCTCAAGGAAAAATACGATAGAAACCTACAGTTTGAGGCCATCTGGGCCTTGGTCAGCATTTGCAGTGGAAACTCGGAACAGACGACTCAGGTTAAATTGGAATCCTTTAATTTAATTGATTAAGTTGTTAAATCATTAACCTTTTTAAGGTCGTGGCCGCTGGTGCAGTGCCATATTTTCTGAAATTTCTTGAATCTCCCAATCTGGAAATCTGGGAACCGACCCTTTATTCTTTGGCCAACATAATAGGCGATGGTCCTTTACTGCGGGACTTTCTCATCAGATTGGGTGTGGTTCAGTCGCTGCTCTCTTTTATTCAGTGGGATATGTCCCCCCAGATTCTATGCAATGTGATCCTGGTAATTGGCAATCTGTGCCGGCACTACGATCCACCGATCGCGAGAGAAACTGTCCTGCAGATCCTGCCGGCACTCGAGGTGCTGATCAGTCACGAGGACATGGAGATCCTTAAGTGGACTCTTTGGGTCATTAGTTTTCTAGCTGGCGGTTGGCAGGAACACATTCAAATGGTAGTTGAAAGTGAAATGCTGCCGAAAGTGATATCACTAATGGGCCATGAAAAAGTCAAAGTTCAAAATGCTGCATTGCGGGCAGTGAGAAAAATAATGTCCGGAACAGATGAGCAGTGTCAGTTAGTTTTGAATCACAATCCACTTTCCCATTTCACATCAGTGGTATTTTTTGCCGATAAGAAGATCCACAGGGAGCAGGTGAAGTTCCTCTGGCGAGTCACCTCTCGCAATCACCTTTGGGTTCAAGCCATTATCAACGAGGGATTGCTGGCCAAGATTATAGAGATTTTAAAGAACGGTGGACTGCAGGAGAGAGCGGTGGCTGCCAGGGCCATAAGTAATCTGACCATGCGCTGCAATGAGGATCAGCTGCTAATTTTGGTCCTAGAGGATGTCCTTCGGCCGTTCTGTGATCTTCTCACCTGCCAATTTGAGGAAATTACAAAGACAGTGCTAAGTGGCCTAAGCAATATGCTTAAAGTATCGAATGCCCATGCCGATGAGTTAACGAAAGCCATTTACGAGTGCGGAGGTTTGGCTAAAATTGAAAGGCTGCAGACTCACGAAAGTGTGGAAATTTACCAACAAGCCCAGCAACTAATCGATCTTTACTTTAGCGATAGTACAGTTTAATATGTAAATTGTTTAAATTTCTACTCGAGACCTTTTGAATAAATAAAAAACAAGCAAAATAAAAGCCAGTCAATACCATTTGTACTTTTCCAAACTTTTCCCATAAATAAAAACATTTTTTTTGCTTTGTTAATTCGCTGATTAATTTGAACAAAAACAACGGAAAATATATTTTATTAATTGTTAAGCCCATGGTGTGGGGGCACTCAATTAAAAGTTTCAACATCGGCAGACGAGTGTCGATAACAGTGGCGCTTGAAAGTGTGTGTACATGGGTAATCAATGCAAATAAACGGGAATCACTCATCGATCGATGTTAATAAATAAAGCAGAGGCGGGGGCAGAAATTGTTGATAAAAAATGCGAGAAACAAACGAGCAAACAGTCAGCAAAAGTTTTCAACAAAGCCATAAAAAATGGCGGAATATGCGAATGGGAGAAATAATTCCATTTTCCAGGGAGTTGGGAGGACCTGTGTATTTTTTTCTTCTTTTAGCTTGTTGTTAGCTGTTTGCCTGCTGCCTGCTGATTATGTGTATTTGCATGCTAAAGCAGTTGTCCTGCGGTCCCCGCCCTCTAGTAATGGTCGAAAGTACCACCCAACGGACCCCCCATCACTCCCCTCTTGTCTACGCGTTGTTAACGTAATTTCCATAAAACATTTTGTTACTTATTTATCTTAATTAAAATAAATTTACATTTTTCTAATTTAAGAGCGCGACGGAGGAAAAACAACAACGCCAACTAGTCAGTCGTGGCCCCCTGCATTTTCCACCCCCCTGTCCTTGTCTCCTTGTCGCGGGCATTAGAGAGCGACATTTTCTTAACAAGCCAAAAGGACACTTTGCTGTCCAATGGGGAAAATGGCGAGCCATCGCACACAAAGGTTCAGGACGAAACAAGGAACAACAAGGAAGGCATAGGAAAGCGACGCAAAACAAAAAAAAAGCTGGAAAAACTCAACGTAATGGAAAGTTGCCTGGGCTCTTCGCTTGGATCTCATTAGCGCCGGTTGCCACGGCACTGAGTCTTAAACTAGGTACGAGGAGTCCCGGACTTTTCTGAGAAATCCCGGGTCCTGGGACCTCGGGAAGAGCATAAAATTAAAAGCTGATGAGCCTGAATGCTGCGCAAAATAAAAAGATTTCTCAACGTATTTGCGTAGTTTGTATCAGGCATTTTTTCCACTCCCTCCCGTTTTTTTCCTAAAAGGACGAAACAAAATGTTTGCCTCGTTGGGGGAAAATGCGACAGGAAATATGAACTGCAAATGGAGTGGACGCAATGGGCAGGAAAGAATGTTCGATAAAAGGACATCGACCAGTGGCTCTTTACGGAGAATAGACAGATAGAGACATTGATAAAAGAACAACAACAGAGCTGATAATTTGCATAGTTGATTGAAATTTAAATCCTATGAGACAACTCGAAGAACTGCACTTGTTGCTTAGGTAACCAATTTAAATAGGTTTATATTGAGTTTCACCAAAAACACTTATTTACCTGTAATTAATTACATTTTTAATTGTTTTTGATTGTACTGTTTTTTTTAAATTTGTTTAACAATGTTTAGTATCCATAAAAAAAATTTAAAAAATAAATTTGCATTTATTTCCTGGAGCAATACATTGGACATTAACATTTAGGATAACAAGGTTAATTTTTTTATTCATAAAAATAGAAGAGTTAGACCTTAATATAGTTAGAAAATTCATTACAATACACTGGATCACATATAGAACAATGTAGAACCTCCTTTCTTATAGCATCTATCTTTAGTACAGTTTCCCCATCGATGACTAATCATTGGCCCGGCATTAGCCGCATTGTTGGCCTGTACAGTGAGCTTGAGCCTGCAATCCTGGCATAAACAAGGCAAATCGGCAATAAATCAAAAATCAATACAGTCAACGCCATTTTGCATTCGCTGGTGGGAGTTTGAAAAGCGTCAACTGAAACCAATACAAAGGCCATAAGTAAAATCTATGCTGGCCCTCTCGCTCACTTCCCATTTATCCGTCTCTGTCTGTCTCCGCTGGCTGACAAGAAATGTTAGAAAAGAAACAAGCCAAAGAAATCGGGGCTGGGGGGTACAAAAACAAAAAAAAAAGAAAATCAGCATCCACCCGCCAGGACAAAGTCCTGAAAGAAGGGGAGGAGTCAAGCCAAGGGAAGCTTGAAAAGAAGCAGCGCTGGAGAAAAAAAGGAGAAATAAAAAGTAAATTCAAAGCAAACGAGACTAAAATTATAAAAATTGCCCTCCTGGTGGTTCAGAGTGTGCCTGTGCCCCCCATCCATCCAAAGTTTCATCCTGCTGCTCCTGACGATGATGATGATGATGATGAGGATGGTAATGGTGATGGCGAGGAGGACAAGGACCAAGGACCAAGAGCAGGACCAAAACGAAACGAACGCGATTCCAATACGGGACATCAACGTCACTGAGGGTGGATGGTCCGAGTTTGTGTTCGAGTTTGAGTCCATATCCTGGGGGTGGTATATAAGGACCTCTCCTTCCCGCTCCCTCCTTTATGTGCAGGAGCCATTATATATACACAGGCACTCGCTTCTTCGCCTTGTGTACACACTATATAGCAATGGCCCGCAGCGTCAATGGACCAAAATAATAACGACTAACGGCCTGTTAAGGGAAAATGCAACGAACTGTGGGGCAGGGGTTTGGTCGAGGAGAGGGGGAGGAAGTGAGGGTGGGTTGGGGCTGGGTGGCCAAGGTTTTTTAAGTGGTCGCGCGTGACGTGCACATCGGAGTCGTGTACTGAGAAAATAATCTAATATTTTGCATTTACTATTTAATAATCTAAAAAAAATACTAGAGGGGTAAATAAAATATTAGGTCTGCGTAATAGGGTAATTAAATTTGAATAAATGAGTTACATGCTGCTTAGAATTTTATAGCTTAAAAGCCTCTTGTACTATTACTAAGTTTTTAAATTTTATAAATTTTTGTTCAGTGAGAAACAGCAATAATAAAACAATTCCAGATAAAACAATGCGACATTTGAGTCGCAAACATATTTTTAAGATTAAAAAAAATGTTTTTTGCATTTAAAAACATAAATGAAAATGTTATTGGCAACTTTTAAAGTGGATTTATTATTTCTGTTGAAACTTATTCAAAAAAGATTGCTGATTTCAAGGGCTATCCCCATTTTTCTCAGTGTGTAGGGCGGTGGATTGTTTGAAAGCTGGGAGATGGAGAGCATCTCCTGCTGACGTGGTATTTGCCAGCTCCGACTCTGATCGGTTGGCCGCCATGGCAAAACAAATTTTTATACCACCCCCGCCCACCTATTTGCACACACAAAACTCTTGTTACTAGCTGCCATTATGATTTTGAAAAGCCATTGCCATTGCCACCCCCTCATTCTACGCCCTCTCCGCTTCACTTTTGCTCATTGAAAAACTGTGAAATTTTATAATAAGCATTTTTTTGTTGGTTGTTGCTGCCAGATTATTGTCGATGATTGTGATTGCGTTTTATGTTGTTCCTTTTATTACCAGGTCAGAACGGGGGCTCTTTTTTTTTGTGTTGGGTGGATGGGACCCCCATTTGCTGCTTTTATTTGCGCCCCCGTTCCTGGTGCTTTTTTGTGGACGGTGCTGTAATATTCCTTTTGAAAAAAAATATTATTTTGTTTGCCTCGTGCGCCTCTCTACTGATGCCGGATTTTTGTGCTCGGCCAGGCGATATTGGTCTCCATTTAAGCTTATTAATTTTAAATGCGATTTTTAATTAAATATTATCAAAGCGTGTCGAGGGCGTCATTAAGTTCGAATGCTTCTGATGTAGCCGATTGGCGTTGATTTGCAGGCCAGAGCTGTGTAGGGGAGATTTTTGAAGAGATTTTGAAAATCCCTATTAACGAATCGATTCACACCAAGTGGACGATTTGAGAAGCGCGGAGAGGGGCGCTTTGATCATTCAATTATCGCTGTATGTAGTTCTCAGCAAGGCAAAGAATTGATACGACATGCTGATGACCTGGGAAAAAAAGTCTTAGTATAAAATAGTAAAATATTTTTAAGTTTCTTTCCACCTTCATATAGGTAACCAAAGAAATGGGTGGAAAAGTGGGCGGTCTTATTGATGCTGGCTTCTGACTTCGCATAATCAGAAGCTTTAGCATGCTGCAATAGGTTTTGCTGCACTGGAACCACTTTTGATTGTAGGCAGCATCGCCCACTCTCAAGCTCTAAAAAGGTTATTAAATTGGTAGGAAGAATATTTAATTTTTTAATATAGCTTTTACCGCGGCAATTAAAGAGTCTCCATAGTAGCACACCATAAAAACCTGCACCATTGAGGTCATCAGAAATATGCAGTAAATAATGATTACTTCCACAGTGGATTCGGTGACCTGAAAGGCTATGAAGCAAATTTGCATAGAGGCCATCAGGAAATTAAGCAGCAGAGAGAAGCTATAAAGATCGTTGACATGTTCACAGAGTCTACAAAAAAAAGATATACAATAAATAATTTCCTTTTATAAAAAATAACTTTAAAACCCACTTAAGACACTTATCGTGATATCTGATAATACCAATGAGAAACTCTCTATTATCCATATCCTCTTCTGGTTTACAGGGATGCTCCTCCAGTCGCATGGATATGTAGTTAAAGTGCATGCAAATCTGGGTGATTACAACGACTAGTAAAAGGTCAGCGCAGAGAAAGGCAATGCCCGCTAGATAAGCTCCATGGGCTATATCCCAGTATGTGATCCAGTAAATGAGGTTACTGCTCGTCGCATCGAAGGGGAACCAGATGAGGAAACCAAAGTTCCGATCGAAGGTGTCGTAGCCGAGAAAATTAAACTTCACCGAGGCCTTGATGGCCGGATAGAAGGAAAACGTGGTCGTATAGGCCAAGCAGAGAAAGGTAAAAACATTGATCACACGCTTCATGGTCTTCTCAAAGTCCGGCAATCTATATTCCCTCTGTTTCTTCAGGCTCTTCGGGTGCATTTCCTCCAGGTCATCGAGCAGCATAATCAGCGTTTTCTTGCCCCTTACCATAGCGAACTGCTTGAAATCAGCCACCAGGGAAAATCCAATGCAGGGAGCCACGGCAATGGCCAAGCGAATGGTCTCAAAGTCCTGAATGGAGTTGTAAAAGAACACCAGTTCGCCGATCACCAGCAGATTGAAGTTTATAAATCCCGCATATAGGTAGACCTTGAGCAGCAGAGATTTCAATGGATTCGTGGAGCGATGGGCGTAGATATCCTCGCCAATGCTCCTGTAAAACTGCACTGGCACTCGCATAAGCTCTAGAAAGGTCCTCGGTGAAGTTTCCTCAGTCTTTTCCATTTTATTATATTTGATTTCTTTTTCGGGGGAACTTTTACGGGAAATTTCGAACAGGAACTGTTTGCGGTCAGTCCCTCGCGTTGGTCTTATATAGTGGGCGGCCGAGGGCGGTGGGCGTGTCTGGCAAGTTTTTTATGCCCCATCATGTCGCGCCTTGGAAAGTGTTGATAATTGTGCCTAAACTTTTAACTAACCAATGTAATTAGCTGTGAACTTTTCTTACTCTTTGGAACCAGCTGAAAAGGTTCTCAAAAGGGGGGCAATCGGAGGACTGGGAAACACAGGACTCGACCTTCACCGGCCGCTAATCAACGTGAATTGCAACAAAAGATGTCTCCATCTTGCCTCCTGCAGCAAATTCGCGATACAATGGGCAAATAACTTAAGGATATTTATTTAAATGCCAGAAAATAGGTGAAAAGAAATTGCAGATTGAATTACTTTCTATTTATAAACTTAACATTAGTTCTTAAATTTTTAAAATGCCTTTCTTTATTATTTTTATGGGTTTGGTATATTAATTGAATTTGGGCTTTTTTGTAGATAGAATAAAAATATATAATAGTTTAAGATTCACTTGAAATAAAACTAAAATGTTATAGTACCCCAAAACATTCCTTTTAAATTTTTTTTCAGCTCTGAAATAAATTCGTAAACTAACCATTACTAATTGAATCGCATTTCGATAACTTTTTCCATGCCCACTTCTGTAACAAAGGGCCAGAAAGGTGTGGCATTGGACAAGGACTACTCTATTCTGGACCATAATGAATGTGTTGAATGAAATGAAAATAATTTTTCTTGTTATCCTGCCTCCCTAGGAGCACAAATTGAGCGGAAAATAACTAATAAAGTCGGACGTGGACGGAGGCCATGAATAAAATGCAAGGCTCCCAGGCATTTTGCCAAGATTATGGGTGGGATAATGTGGGTGGGAAAATAGTGAAAACCCAACCAGCCATGGACCATTAGAGAAAATGCAGGGGGGGAGGTCAGAAGGAAGCCTTCTCCGGGCACGTGCAAAATGGCTGCTCAAATTGAAATGCTGCCGATGCCACAATGGGTAATTTTCATTTCAATTTTCACAGTTTTCCCCCGCCCCACCCCGCTGGTCTGACAATTTTTTGCTCATTTGCAGTTTGCATTTGAGAATTGAACTTGTGCCCGGAGCGAACAATGATGTTTCAGATGATGATGGAGAATCTCTCGAGCATTTTTTTTTCAGCTCGCCATCGAAGGAAAACTTTATCCCGTCAGCTGCGTGTGGCAAGAAAAAGTTTGGGAAATGTAGAAAATGTTTGCATCATATTGAAAACTCTTAACATTCTTCGTCGCTTACGTTGCCATGGACCCCTCGTGACTCTCAGTCAGATTTTCTCTATTTAATAATATGGGGAAAATGGCAAAGAATTTCTCGGTTGCCTCATGGCAAAGTTTTTATAGAAAAACATATTGTCAATGTACGGCTATTAACATGAAAATACATTTGTCGTGGAGGGAAATGGTTTGCATAGCGAGCCAATCGCCAGCAAGGCATTGAAATTGTAGTTTAAAATCATTTTTAATTCTTGTAAATGGAACAGGAAAATCAAAATAAGTAAAAAATATAATATGCATTTTTCAAAACGTATTATGAAAATGTCAATAAAGGGACCTTATAAAATTAAATACATTTTAAAACAAATTAAAAAAAAAGTTTTTTTCTCAGACTTTGTGCAAAATTAATTGTTTTCCCTTTATTAGAATTTTTAAATTTAAAATTATTTTATTCAATTACAAGCTTTGATTAATTAACACAGCTGCCAGAAATGGTAAATATGTACATACATTCAAACATATTCGCTGTTTAGCTCAACTGGATGCGACTCAATTATATTCCCCTCGCTTCCTTTTGAGTTGAGCTTCTTTATTTATTTTGAGTCTTTTGATTTAAGGGGAAATTTTGGGTTGGGTGTGAGTTTGAGTTTAACTTTGAGTGAATTTATTTCTATGTTTTTTCGTTTGCGATGTTGTTTTCGATGTTTTCCACCCTTTGAGTTGTTTCTATGTTTTCCCCTATTCGAAACCATTCCCACTTGAAAGTGTCTGCGCTAAGGTAATGGGAACAGTTTATCCTGCCAATAGAGGGCGCTGTTGAGCTGTCCAAGGACATGCAAATTAGTTCTAGGACTTTCTTTTTTTCTATTTATGCAGATTTATTTGATGGTTCCTGAAACAGTCGCCAGGTGTCGTTTGTTTATTGTTGTATTATTTAAATTTGTATAACATCTTTGTCTTTGTATGATCATTTAGTTTATTATTCTTCATATCGTTCCGAAGCCCTTGAAATTTTGGGATATTTCATGAATGTATCGTCACATTTCTGTCCGTTTTAAGGACCTCATTCAAATCCTTTTTCTTTCATTTTTCTGCAACTCAATTTTATATTTTTTGTTTCACATTTTGAAGAGCTGCACTTAAGCGCAGATTTTAATTACTTTCCGGCCGACTGGCAACGGAAGGCACACAAAAAGATCTCTGGGAAGGGGTTTCCATTTGTTCAGGCGGTGGAAAGGGTCGGCGGTGTGGGTGTGTATCCTTTTTGCAACATTTAGAGAATGCATTTATCTGACGGACCCTTGGAGCCCGAGAATCTGGCATCTGAATTAGCCGCTCGCCTTTGTCGCACGCAGAGGAAGGCAGAAAGAAAAGAGTCCGCCTCAAGTGCAGGGCATTATGTATTCATGGCTAAGAGAAGAAAAGCTACGACTGTGACACATGTGTGTGGCAAAAAGGGGGTCGTGGAAGGGGCACAGGGAGGGGCCAAAGAAATGCTGGGCAAGTGCACTTAGCAGCTTGTAGACGCCCCAGTTGACATTGCCACACGCACACCAGTCTGCCACTTGGGGGTTGTTTTCTTCGAGCCATAAAAAATTCGCACATGAGCGAAACACACACACACACAAGTCGAGACAATGGCGCTGGCAAAAAAAATGAGAGGAGGGGCTGAAAATGAAGAGAGGGGGCGTCAGAGGGAAGGTGATTCGAAGTGGTTGCTTGCAACCCTGCTGCAATTTTCAAATGGCCCAAACGCTCAAGGCGCAACAACAGCAACGACATGTCCATGTCCTGGCCGCCTTTGTTACAATCCTCGCTCGCAGGACACCCCGCCCCGCTCCACATTTCCGATCCCCTCAGCCACGTCCATGCGAGTCCCCACTCGTGTAATCACAAACATGCTACAAAAGCCAGAAACAGGCTCAAGTTAATGACTTGGCAACTGCGAGAACAGAACTCGGATGCACTTCGAAAAGGACATGCACTGAAAGGATTACTGAAGGCAACTTAAAATTCATTTATGTGTAATGTCTTAAACAAAATTACTTTAAAAATAACAGCGAATTTTTCAAAATATTGTAAGTTAGCAATCTCTAAGCATCTTAGAGATCTTATAAATATTTTTTAATTTATCAAATTTACTGTACCCATTCCTCTCAAAATTTAATTGTCATAATGTAAATAAATTTATAAATAAATCACAACCAATCAGAATTATATGACTGACAAGCTGGTAATTAGGGCTAGTACTCAACCCAACAAAAAGTAGTCCAAAACAAAAACTTCATATGAAACAAAATTTTTTGACTTTGTTTTTCATATGAAGTTTTTTGTTTTGGACGACTTTTTGTTGGGTTGAGTACTAAGCCTTAGAGTCAAATAAAATATTCATAAAACTGAACATCTTTTTTTCACGTGCAACTGCAGATGAAGTTGAATCCAATGCAGTATCTGAAGATGGATGTGGGATATGGGATATGCACCTGCATTTTATTGCATCCTGCCGGAGGGTCGAACAATGGGGCCTTTGTCTAGGCCAGGCCCGTCTATCCAGCTGTTGGCCAAGAACAATTCCCATTTCGCGGACTCCAAGTCGCGATGATCTTGATGGCTAATTGAGCTGGGACAGCTGGGTAAAAGAATTTGTCCCTGTCTTGTGGGCCATCGAATTGTTTACCATATTGGATAGAGAAGTTTTGCAATGTCTTTTTCTGTCTTTAAACCCCCCTTCAAAAACCGCACCCCTCCTGTATTAATCCATCTCCTGGGGGTGTCACGCATGCGCCTTTGTCACCCGTCTGAGCCATGTCAACACTTCGAATGTTCCTGGCCATTTTTGGGCAAATAACTTGCTCGGCTCAGAGATCCCGTTAGTGCGGACGGCCTAAAGAGTTGTCATTCAGTTGTCGGCGCAGACCACCGTTGGAGATGATGTCGCGTCTCCATCTGTCTCTGGTTTTTTTCTCTTTGGCTTCCGACCAGGAAAAAAAAGCCCAAGGAGCTCCAAGTTTGTCTCCTCAGCTTTGCGGCGTGTTGTCGTCTGCAAATTGTTCGCGTCGCTATTATCCAGGGGCATCAATCTCCCGGCAATTGACAGGCCTGCTCCACTGAAAAACAGCCTTTTTATGGCCAAGACGAAATTATTTACTCAGAGCCAGAGTCACAGAGCCACCGCCACCGCAATTGTCAATCTGGGAATTGGCCGCCCCCCTTTCCCCCTTTTTTCGGGCTCCCCCTGGTTTTATGGCAATTCGATTGGTTGGCAGTTTTTCTGTAAATTGCTGCAAGTCTGCCTTTTGTCTCGTCGCTTAATTTAATTTGTATTTCGGCTCTGACTCGTATTTATGGTTAGTTGGCGGTCTTGACTTGATTTCATTCCCCCCGATGATTGACGGAATTGAGAGGTGGGAAGTGACAGGATTGTCAGGAGTGTCGGCGCAAGCTGATTGGATGTAAATGCTTGTAGGGTTAATTGTGAGTCGAGATTGAGTACATTTTTAATTTGAAAGGGAATTTGCAAGTTTCGGGAATTCATGTTCATGTTAAAGATTAATTTTAAGTAATCATTTTAAGTACTATCTGTGTTTTGAATAAGAACTGCATAAGCAAAGACCCAAATTAATTCTTTTTAAATCATATTTACAAATTAAATTTAACTGATCAAATGATTATATACAATTTCG